TCTTTTGTGAGAAAATTTATTATTTCAAACCCTTTTTTTTAGTAATTTTTAAAAATACGAAAATTTTAATTTTAAAAATTTAAAAAAAAATATCTATTTAGTTACTAATGCTATATTTATTATTTTAATAATTACCTACCCAGTAGGTAAATATTAAAATAATAAATGTAGCATTATAAACAGTAAATCTCCCTCAAACTCAATTTACTAATATTGCTCCTAAATAAGGAATAGCAGATAAAAGATTAGTAGGTACTATTAGTAGGTAGTAGGTATATAACTATTGCTCCTCAAAATTATATTTGACCTCAAGGTAAAACATATCCTAAAATTCAGTAGCTAAATAAAATAATAATAACTACTATTTAAGTATATTTTCAATATGTAAGTAAATGAAAGTAACAAAAATGAAGCACCATTAGCATGTAAAGTTCGAATCCATAATTAATATTTCGACAAATATTATAATTTACACTATAAAAAGCTAATTCAATATTAGCAGTATAGTATATAGTTAAAAATAATCAAAATAGTAATTTTTATTAATTAGATAATATATTAGAATACATAATTCTAATATAATGCAACTAATATACCGAATAAAGAAAATTAAAATACATTTATCATTGTACGCCGTGTCTATTTCCATAGAAGAGTTCATTGACATTGAAAAAATAATACTACGTTCGTAGCAGTAGGTGGCGTCTTTTGCCGATTTCTTACGCGATATATTGTAGCGAGCGTCGACAGACCAAATGCTCAAGGTCGTTCGCTGGAGGTAGCGCCTTAATTGGACCTCATGCCCAGTCAGAGACTTTACAATAGTAACAAGATGCTTCAACTGCCAGCAGTTTGCTCATTCAGCCAAATTTTGTCAGGAAAGTAGCAAGCAACATGTAACTACTGTGGAGAGCTCGGGCATTCCTTTAAGGAATGTAATAAAAAAGCGCATGCCCCGTTTGCACGACGTGTAAACGTTTTAAAAGAAAATGCGACTACAAAACTGGTGATGAAAGCTGTCCAGCACGTAAATTCGCAGAGGACAAATATATCCACTCCATAGACTATAAGGGCGCCTAAGAGCGCCGCGTATTATATTATTTACGTAGCTCTTAAACACTAGTTTTAGTTTATCTTTAAGCTTAAGTATGGCGAATCAATTACTCCTAGACAACTTTTCTGTGTCTGACGCCAAAACATGTAATGTTGATGGCTGTAAACACTTCCTTCCACGTCCTGAAAATAAGTTAATCTTACTTACACAAAATATTAGAAGAATAAATCGGAATATAACCGGGTTTGAAGTTTTGTTGCATAGACTGGATATAAAATGTGATATTATTATCCTTACAGAATGTTGGCTGTCAAACCTCCCATCCCAGCTACCGATTCTAAATGGCTATTCTTTACACAAAACCGAGAAAAACATTAATCAAAATGACGGTTTAGTAATCTATGTTAAAAATAATTTAAAAGTAACTGTCACAGAACCTACATTCCAGGATAGTAATTGCTTAATCATTCGAATTAATTCCGAGACGATTGTTATCGCAGTTTACAGACCTCCTTCACAAAATATTGATAGATTTCTAGAGTCCCTTGATATTACCTTAAAGCAAATTTAGCACATATAACATATAATCCTAACCGGTGATATAAATATTAACATTACCCTTGGAAAAACAGATAACCATGCACATAACTACCTAAATATTTGCTCTTTTCATGGGCTATTACCAACACATTACCACCCTACACATCAAAGCGGCTCTTGTTTAGACCATTTTGTGATTAAATCAAATAACCCTTCTTTAACATTAGTTACTAATTTCTCGCTTACTGATCATCAAGCAATTTTACTAACATTACAATTAGCCTTACCTAGGAAAAACTGCATACGCAACTACACTAAAGTCCATATGACGAACATCGAAAATGACATTCGTAGCATTAATTTTGACTTTGTTTATTGCTCTGACGATGCAAATACGTCCTTGAGTTACTTTATAAATTCTTTACAATACGCAATAATGAATAATACATCAACAATAAAACTGTCACGTAAGTATTATAATATTAAACCTTGGATAACACCTGGTCTCGTCCGCTGTATAAGAAATAGAGACAAACTTCATTTAAAATCTAAACTTTCTCCTGATAATTTAATACTTTCTGCTACTTATAAAAGATATAGGAATTTTTGCAATAAAATATTAAAATACCTCAAAATACAATATGATAAAAATGTTTTACAAAAGGCCGGTAAAAACGGTAAACTTGTATGGAAGTTCATTAAAAATAATACCTTCAGTTCAAAAAATCTTGGACCCCCCTTGATCTACTGTCATTAGACAAAAGCCCACACGAAGCAACTAATAAAGTAAATAATTATTTTATTAATGTTGGCAAAAAAATAGCAGAGACAACTTTAAAATTAAGCTACGCTCGTAATCCAATTTTTATGCCCACATCCTTTTCTAAGTTAAATTCTTTTGTATTGTTAAATACCGATATTGATGAGATTTTAAGTATAATATCTGGCTTAAAAGAAGATTGTGCAGTTGGATGGGACAATATACCTAATCGCATACTCAAAAGATTTAAACATTTACTGGCCGCCCCGTTAACACATATCTTTCAATTATGCCTATCAAATGGTATTTTCCCAAAAGTGCTTAAAAAAGCAGTGGTTTCTCCTATTTACAAAGCTGGTGATAAAAACTTAGTTAGTAACTATAGGCCGATTTCAATCTTATCTGGCTTATCTAAAATTTTAGAAAAGATGATAAATACCAGGTTAATAAAATACCTGGAAACTAACAACTTGCTGTCAGACAGACAATTTGGTTTTAGGTCTAAGAGATCATGCAATGATGCCTTGCACCAATTGACAGATTACGTCACAAGTAATCTTGACGACGGTATGTACTCAATTGGGATCTTTTTAGACCTTGCCAAAGCATTTGATACTATTTCTTGCCCTATACTATTGCAAAAGCTTGAAACACTAGGCATAAGGGGAACTCAACTACAAATTTTTTCTGATTACCTCAGTGATCGCTTTCAATGTGTAAAAATCGGTGAGTATACAAGTACTGAATTACAAAACAGCTCTTATGGAATCCCACAGGGCAGTATCCTGGGGCCTACATTGTTCCTAATTTATATAAATGACTTATGCAATCTTCAACTTCAAAATGGTGTCATTATGTCGTATGCAGATGACACAGCCCTGTTATTCTCAGCTAAATCACGAGATGAGGTTTATAAATACTCTCAGCAAGGCTTTAACATAGTATCTAATTGGCTTCTTAATAATCTCCTACGTTTAAACGCTGATAAAACACAATATATCTTATTTTAATGAGAAATAATAACATACCAACTCACCTAAATATTTACACTCATAATTGTAACTCGTATAATGACACTGCATATGCATGTTCCGCTTTAACAAAAACAGACAATATAAAATATCTAGGTATCTACGCTTGACACAAATTTAAATTTCCGCAAGCACATCGATTTACTTTGTGCAAGAGTTCGTAAATTAATATATATTTTTAAATATCTTCGTAACATCGCTGACTTCAAATTGATAAGACAGGTCTATTTAGCTTTGTGTCAATTCATACTCACTTATGGCATTACTTCCTGGGGTGGAGCTTCTAAAACAATATTGCTCTCATTAGAACGTGCACAGAGAGCAGTTTTAAAGGTAGCCACTTTCCGCCCATTCATGTTTCCTACACATCAACTTTACTTGGCATGTAGTGTACTAACTGTCCGTCAGTTGTTTATCCTGAACATCATATTAAAACAGCATACCGAACTTCCATTTAGTGAGAGAGAGAAGAATGGACTTAGTTTGTGTTAACCCTCAAACCAAACACGCATTTGTGTACAAATTTTACATATTTTTAGGACCCTTTCTATATAACAAGCTCAATAAGTCACTAAAGGTATATAGTCTAAGTTATAAGAACTGTAATATAAGTGTAAGGGAATTTCTAAATAAATTAAATTACGAAGACACAGAGAAGTTGTTAGAAATTCTAAAATAGTTTGTATAAATTGTAGGTAACAATTAATTGTTATTTTGTTATTTAGTTATTTTATTTATTATATAATATAGTTTAATTATTTAAATATCTAGTGTCCTACATTATTAAACCCATTGTGTAAGTGATGTCTGAAACACAGGTATTCAACCTAGTTCAGGCAGGTAGCTAATATTATAAACTTGACTTTTTATTTTTCTTTTGTATATTCTACATTATTAAGCTACACATAGTTTTAATTTTATCATAGTATGTTATTTTTGTTAGACTTATTGTTACTTTAATTAATTTTAATCATATTTATTCCTGTATGTAAACATGTGTAATTGGAAATGAAATAAGTATTTATTATTATTATGTTTGGGGTATCTATATAGTTTTCTCATCTGGTTGGGTTATATAAATATATAATTATAAATTAAAATGAAACGATAAATATACATAAATATCAATAAAATAAAATAAATACAAAAATACATAAATAAATAAAAGCCCAACCAGATGGAAGCCCTCGGCAGGGGAGACCAAACGGCCGAGGGTTAGGAGGAAAGGGAAAGAAACCGGCGGACGATGCGGGCGGTATCGAGAAGCACCGCCTTTTGCATTTGAGCCCGGAGCGGTCCGTCACGGAGTCCCAGTCGCTTTATAAGATACCCCTTCTTATCCTTATGTGGTTCTCCGCAGCCATCATCCGCTCGCCCAGATAGCAAAGGATCGTAAAATAAAATGGCGCAGGGAATTGACGACCCCATCGCCCGCTGACGTAATAGTTAAGTGACAAAACTGCTACGTCAACGCAGTCAGTAGCGCCTTGCGAGAGGTGTGAGCGCCGTGCCTCGGCAGAATTCAGGGTGCAAAGGCCCGTTTGTGCTTATGGCCATCCACGATACGGTGCCGGGCCTGGGCGTCTCCCGTTTATGGACGCCCATATTATGGATGATGGAAAAAAAGATAGTGCGCAAAGGGCCGCTGCCTGGAGGTCGCCAGGGCGCGTCTGGAGCTGGCGCTGGACGCGACAGCATGCGGGCCGCCAGCCGAGCGCGGGGTGTTGCAAGACCACCTAGCAGCCCCCCGCATCCATCATCCCCACCAGAAGGCTTGGTGTCGGCTGGGTCTTCTCGGACTCAGCAAGCGGCACCCGCCGCTGGTGGAGCACGTCGCATGGGTTGGTCTAAATCAATGAATGAAAACGCACTGCGGGCGTATTTTAGGGCAAAAGGGGGAAGAAACTGGATGTTTGGCGTATCGGGCTCGGATGCATCGCTTTTTTGCAGAGCTGGAGCCATCTCTACTGTCACTGAGCAAAACCTGGCAGACCGAGTTAGGTACATCCTGCGCTCCAACATATTTGGTGACGCCGAACTCGAGCGACTACGACGTGAGGCTATTCCTTCATCGAATGGAAATGCTACGGCTGGGAATGCGGCGCCACTAGATGCGCAACAAACTGCATATGTGGATGCTGTCGTCAACATTCAATTTGTGGCTAATTCAGACGATGATGAAATAGTCTTCCACGAACTAGAGAAAATGAGGAGCATATTGGAAGAGTCGATGCTGGAAACGCGCAGCATGCCTCTCGAAAATCGACCGCGACTTCCCCCGCATACCCCTTAGCAAGCGAAATCGGGCTGTCGTGCGGGCCCTTAACCCAATGCTGGTGACCTATTTGGAAGCCAGCCGGGACCTTTGCGAGACGGATTCAATTCTTTTTGGCGCCGCACTGGCAGTATGCCGTATTATTGGCGCCAAACTTCCCGTGGCTGGACGTGCTACTCAAAAAAGTAGCGCCATCCCAGCCTGGAGAAAAAGAATTGAGGACCGTATCGCAAAGGCAAGGGCCCTTATCGGCAGACTGACAAGCTTCAGGTCGGGTAATAATAGACCGAGGATTATGCGCACCGTTAGGATGGCGTTTGCTGGGACAAATATCAGTTTGTTCCAACCGATATCATGCAAATATCATGCAAAAACTAACGGAGCGCATAGATGACCTGAAGCAAAAAATCGCTGCTTGGGGGAAGAGGATTCGACGATTTAGCGAGAGGTCAAGGCGGTTCAACCAGAATCGTCTCTTCCAGAGTGATCAGAAGAGGCTCTATAAATCATTGGAGCGACCAGAGGTATGTGGAGCGGGCCCAGGACCGGATCAGGCCGACACTGTCGCATTTTGGCGCGGCCGGTGGTCAGAGCCCGTAAACCACAGCGAGGGCCCTTGGATGGAAGTTGTGACGAGCCAGAGTGCAAGTGTTACGCCTATGGACCCCGTCACCATAACGCCTGAAGACGTGGCTGAGGCGGTCCGTAGGGCCCCGAACTGGAAAAATCCGGGGCTCGACGGGCTGCATCATTACTGGCTGAAGGGGTTCGTAGTGTGTCACGCTGTGCTCGCCCGACAGTTTCAAGAGGCTCTCGATCAGAAGTCGCTCCCGAGCCTCTTCACTACTGGGATCACTCATTTGGTTCCTAAAGATCAGGATACCACAGACCCGAGCAAATACCGCCCCATCACGTGTCTACCCACCATATATAAGACACTGACATCCATTTTGAGCGCGAGAATCACTCGTCACCTGGAGCTAAATCAGGTGATGTCACGCGCTCAAAATGGATGCCGGGGCGGTGGTCGTGGAACCAAAGAACCACTCCTCATTGACGCGGTCATTGGCAAAGTGGTGAAACGCAGCCGTCGGAATTTCTATTTTATTATATTTATTTTTATTATTATTGTGGGGTATCCATATAGTTTTCTCATCTGGTTGGGTGCTATAAATATATAATTATAAATGAAAATGAAAAGATAAATATACATAAATATCAATAACATAAAATAAATATAAAAGTACATAAATAAATAAAAGCCCAACCAGATGGAGGCCCTCGGCAGGGGAGACCAAACGGCCGAGGGTTAGGGGGAAAATGAAAGAAACCGGCGGACGATGCGGGCGGTATCGAGGAGCACCGCCTTCTGCATTTGAACCTGGAGCGGTCCGCCACGTAGTCCCAGCCGCCTAAGATGACCCGAGAGGCTGACTGGGATTAACCCGTTTGCAGAGACGACTACAGGAATAATTTCGGTCGGCAGACCACCCCACATGTCGGTCACCTCGTGAGCCAGGTCCAGATATTTTGTTTGCTTGTCTGTTTTGGCTTTCACGAGGTTCTCGTCATACGGAATGGTAATGTCGACCAAAAATATCCTTGACTGTGCCCGGTCCATCAGCACAATATCAGGCTTATTCGCAAGAATAGTCCTGTCTGTGATGATGGCCCGGTCCCAATAGAGCCTGGCGCGATCATTTTCGAGCACGGCTTCCGGCAAGTACTTGTAATACGGCAATTTCCGATCCACGAGACCGTATTTCAGAGCGAGCTCCTGGTGTAGAATTCTGGCTACTAGGTTGTGCCTGTGCAAGTACTCAGAGTTAGAAAGCGCCGAACAACCGGAGATAACATGCCTAAGTGACTCACCGGGATGGCGACAAGCTCGACAGATGTCGACGGTGCCATCCTTTAGGATGTATCTCCGATAGTTGTTGGTCTTAATAACCTGATCCTGTATTGCACAGACAAAACCCTCGGTTTCCCCCGAAGAGATCACCAAAGCGTAGCCAGTGGAGGGAGGCTACTGTGTCTACGAAAGGCTCATGTAGAGCCTTGTAGAACCTCCCGTGGAGCTCCTTCTCCTTCCATACGGTCTCCCGGTCGGAAATGCTCTGCACTGCCGGGTCTTGCCATTGCTCGTTGGCTAAGGATAGAGGGGTAAGTCCTTTATCACAAGAAATGACGTCCTTATAGAATGGATCATCCGATCTCGCCAGGAAGTAATCACGGAGGCTGCACACTTCGCGATTATGCATGGTGAGCGCGTTCAAGAAGCCACGACCACCATGCTTCCGCGGCAAGTACAGCCTCATTACCGACGATCTCGGACGATGCATCCTATGGGACGTCATTGTAGTGCGGACTTTTCTATCCAGGGCGTTAAGTACAGTCTGAGTCCACCTGAGTATGCCAAAGGTATACATGAGGACAGGCATGACCCAGCCGTTATATGCGTGTGCCTTATTCACACCGGACAAAAGGCTGTTAAGCACTTTGGTCAAGCGTGCATAAAACACGTCGCAAACTGACTGTTTCATACCAGTCTCATCGATACCGATGTTTTGTGACATACCCAGGTATCGGTATGTTTCAGCCTCGGAAAGGGTCCTTAAGTTGACGGGCATAGATAAGTCTACGCCCTCAGAGTTAGCAACCTTTCCCCTTTCAACATGGAGGACCGCACACTTATCCGTCCCCAGCTCCATTCTAATGGAATTGCTAAATTCACAAGTGATGTTTAGCAATTCCATAAGATGGGAGCGACTGGAGGCGAATAACTTGAGGTCATCCATATAGAAAAGGTGGGTCACTTTTGTCCCTCCTTTCCGTAGCTGAAATCCCCTCCCGGAGCCCTCCAGTAAGGTACTGAGAGGGTTCAGAGAGAGGCAGAACCAGATTGGACTCAGACAATCGCCCTGAAAGATACCCCTTCTTATCCTTATGTGGTTCTCCAAAGCCATCATCCGCTCGCCCAGATGACAAAGGATCGTACTCCACTGCCCCATACACTGCCCGAGGAAGTCTCTAACTGTACAGTCTATCTTGTACAGCTCGAGGACTCTCTCTAGCCATGTATGGGGCACCGAGTCGAATGCCTTTCTGTAGTCTATCCAGGCGGCGGAGAAGTTCCGACGGTTGCGTTTCACCACTTTGTCAATGACCGCGTCAATGAGGAGTGGTTCCTTGGTTCCACGACCACCGCCCCGTCATCCATTTTGAGCGCGCGACATCACCTGATTGGAGTCCGGGTGACAAGTGATTCTCGCGCTCAAAATGGATGTTAGTGTCTTGTATATGGTCGGTAGACACGTGATGGGGCGGTATTTGCTCGGGTCTGTGGTACCCTGGTCTTTAGGAACCAAATGAGTAATCCCAGTAGTGAAGAGGCTTGGGAGCGACTTCTGGTTGAGAGCCTCTTGAAACTGTCGGGCGAGCACAGAGTGACACACCATGAACCCCTTCAGCCAGTAGTGATGCAGCCCGTCAAGCCCCGGACTTTTCCAGTTCGGGGCCCTACGGACCGCCTCAGCTACGTCATCCGGCGTTATGATGACGGGTTCCATGGGCGTAATACCCGCACACTGACTCGCCACGTCTTCCGTCCAAGGGCCCTCGCTGTGGTTTACGGGCTCTGACCACAGGCCGCGCCAGAATGCTACAGTGTCGGCCTGATTCGGTGCTGGACCCGTTCCACTTACCATTAGTCGCTCCAATGATTCATAGAGCCTCTTCTGATCACTCTGGAAGAGACGATTCCGGTTGAACCGTGTCGACCTCTCGGTATATCGCCGAATCCGCTTTCCCCAAGCAGCGATTCTCTGCTTCAGATCATCTATGCGCTCCGTCAGTTTTTGCGTTATATCCGGCTGGGACAAACTGACATTTGTCCCAGCAAACGCCATCCTGACGGTGCGCACAATTCTTGGCCTGTTGTTGCCTGATCTGAAGCATATCAGTCTGCCGATGAGAGCTCTAGCCTTTGCGATACGTTCCTCAATTCTTCTTCTCCATGCTGGGATAGCGCTACTATGGCCAGTAGCGCGTCCAGCCGTGGAAACCTTGGCGCCTATGATACGGCAGACTGCCAGCGCGGCGCCAAAAAGAATTGAGTCCGTCTCGCAAAGGTCCCGGCTGGCTTCCAAATAGGTAACCAGCATTGGGTTCAGAGCCCTCACGACAGCCCGATTCCGCTTGCTTAGGGCTATGCGGGGAAGTCGCGGTCGATTTTCGAGAGGCGTACTGCGCGTTTCCACAATTGCCTCTTCCAATATACTCCTCATATGCTCTAATTCCAGTTCCTGGGCGACTGTTCCATCATCGTTTGAATCAACCACAACTGGGGTATTTACGGCGGCATCCACGTTTGCGGGTTGCTCTACCATTTGTGGCGCCGCATCCTCAGCCGTAGCATTCTCATCCGACGAGGGAACAGTCTCACGTCGTAGCCGTTCGAGTTCGGCGACATCAAATATATTTGAGCGCAAGATATACCGAACTTATTATTATTATTATTTACGGTAAGTGTTTTCACTTCTCAGCTCTAGGCTGGATTTCAACTACATTTACGGGCCGAAGCCAAAGCAAATGCAGCGTGTGGTGTGTAGTGTAGTTCATGTGATTTGATGAGGTCCTATTTCATTTTCTTCTATCTGCATGAATTTCCTAAGTATTCTGCATGTATTTAATATAGCTGCATTTTGAAGTGTAATATACAGAGTTTCTCTTAGTTGTAATAATTTTAAGCTACGGAGGAGATAATTTGGGATGACACCTGTTGTGGAGAGGACTATAGGGACCACATATACTTTTTCTTGTTGCCAGATTCTAGTCACTTCATCTTTAAGTTCTGCGTACTTACTAATTTTTTCAGTTATCGTCTTCTGCAAGTTGTGTGTGTTGGGGACTGCAATGTCTATCAGGTAAGTAATATTATTTATTTTATCTTGTAGAATTATATCTAGTCGGTTATAGTGGATTGTCCTATCGGTGAGAATGCCGCGGTCGTAAAAAAG